GCAACTGGCAATCTCAGCAATAATACGAGTTAAGAGGAGTAACTTTTGAGAAGAGTACTTTTATACTTCCAGCTACTCGAACCAGGGCCGGATCTACGGGCGAGGGGGGCGAAGAGGGAAATAGGGGCCTTGACTCGAAATGTGTGGCAGACACAGGCAGGAAGTTGTTGTAAGTATGTAGAGTATTTTGGAGGTGTGCGAGATGGAGCAGCGTTTCCACAAGCATGTAACGGATTGTTTGTGCAAAGTGTACGTAAAGTTGGCTGCAAAGGGAAGTCATTTAATTTATGGGCATGCTCATAACTCTTTGACTTTCTGCCACATGCAGTGTGAGCAATGAGCAGCGGCAGGCAGTGGGCGAAAAGGTAGGGACATACATACATACATATGTATACTTAGTACACACATCCACTGACCGCATACTTTTTCATTTGTATGCGTTCGAAATACGTCTGGGAAATCTATAAGCCCCAGTGACAATTTTAATGGTTTCTGCGGTGAATGGCTCGCTCCGACAAAGGTGGGTGGGTGAGTGTATGAATCAAATCAGCAGCTGGTAGTTAAACGAGTGTGTGGAGGGAAAAGGGCACGTGATTACACATATCATTGTAGGTACACTGCAAGCCAAATGTTATGATTTCATTGTTGTTTTGATTGTTTTTTTTTTAATGTGTTTGGGCTTTCGCTTTTGTTCCAAATGACTTTGATGTGTGCAATTTTATTGATTTACTGAGCAAGCGTGACCGAACGAATGTTATTCATGTGGTATACGTATGTATACATATGTAAGTGTATGTGAATTTGCGGATTGATAATAGGGGTATTCTCGATACGTTGCATACTGTCTAGCATGGTGCATAGATAGCATAATTGGCTAATCTTGTTGTTGTTTGAACACATGAAATCCAGACAGTATGTACCGGATCGAGAATACCCCTAATTTAAAGCGAGCAAGTGAGCGAACTTTGATGGTCATGCTCCGTGTGTATTAGGGCATTGTTGGTGATTTTAGTTTTTTTGTTTAAATAAAAGTTTTTGTTGCTATTTATTGCAAATAAATCTGGAATTGAGTAGTGGTGTTTTTGAAATATTATTTTGATATGTAGGGAAGATTAAAGAGCAAACTTGCGCAACAAAACGATTAACTTTTCTTAGCTGTACAGTGATCAACAAAAATGTGCTTCAAAATTAATATTAATTGCGTATTTTAATCCATTTTTTTTTTTGTAAAATCCGTATTTTTACCTATTTTCGCCAATTAAAAATGAAACAGCATAAAAATATAGCTATTTTTTCAATATTTTCTTTATATTAAGATGCATTCTTCGATTTTAAAAAGAAGTTCCAAGAAGTAGTAACTATCTACCCATTTTATTTCGTCCTGAAAGTATTTCATAAATGGTGAGCTATAGTGCCTATCATAAATATACGACACCCACATATTTACAAGTTTTGACTATTTATTATATTACTATGTAATGGAATTTCATTTTATTTTAATTAATTTTACCAAAATTAATTTTTTTTTTAACCATGTTAATCCCGAAAACTACTGAGCGGATTTGCAAAGATTTTTTTTAATAGATATCCAACAACTTTATTAAGCTTGAGGCCATTTTTAGTGAAAAACTATTGTGGGGGAAAAAACAATTATGTATAAAAATAGAAAAGTGATAGCTATTTCGGAGATCATCACATTTCCTCATCCTTAGTACTGAGAATTTGAATAGGATTGCCACCTGTCTAAAAATTATAAAATCCACACTGTTCGTTGAATTATTCATTCAATTAAAAAAAAAAATAGGTGTCAAGGGTTTTGCCTGTAGATGTGCAATAAATTTTTATTTTTTTCGAAGAGGTTGCCACTTTTTTGAAAAGTAAAATTTAATCAAATCATGCACAAGTTATATGCAATATTAAAATATGGGTGTCAAACGAAAGAGTGCTAAGAAATATCTAGTTTGATTATTTAAACTATTTTGAGGTGTTTAAAGAGGGTTGCCAACTATTTAAAATGTTACCGGCAAATTACTGAATCAGTTAAATGAATTATTAAAAGATAGGTATCAATCGAATCGCGTTTGAAAGGCTTTATTTCAGAACCATATTAAATAGGGTTGCCATTGGTTTAAAAAATAAAATTCAAATTGTTTATTTATTAATTTTATTGTGGCATATTAATGTTTATTCCACTAGTGTTATTAAGCTTTGTAACACGATTTGTTTATTAGGAAAATTGGAAACAACAACAACATCTCCACATCAGACTTCTTTTTCTAGACTTCAGTAGGGATCGAACCCGCATCATCGATGTGCAAAGTCAGCTGTGCTAAATTCTGAGCTATGCACACCCCATAAGCTCTTATCTATTTTGGTTATTGTATTATTTGTACTGAAAAAGAAACGCGACTATTGCATTTCTCGGTAATTTTTATGAAAATTTCAAAATCGTGTACTTTGCGTCCAATTTCGGAATTCACTATACAACCAAGTGCTTATGGCATTTTAATGTACTTTGCAGGAAAATGAATCCGTCATGCAAATATGTAGTTATAATTTACTTGCCTTTTTCATCAACAAATAATTAAGTCACTCAATAATTGTTGTTTTTCTTTTGCCTTTTTTGCAGATGTGTCGAAAAAATTTAATATCGAAGGATTTACGAGTATGCACAAACACATTCGATTGCAAAGAAAATGGGAAATTTATGACATAGAAAATAGTGTCACATTCACAAAGGATGAATATAGCACTGAGTTGCAGATACAAAAGCAACAACAACTAAGCAACTGATTTACTGAAAATTTGCTGCCAGCGGGCGCTTCGTTTGATGATACTTTAATTATGGCTGTACTAACTAAATACATATATACATAGTACAACCGTCTGCACGCGAGTGTCTCTATGTATGTATGCATGTGTGTATGGCGTTGCGTTGACAGAGCACTCAAAGGCAACATTTTTACCCACGATGCATATTTTGTTGCGACGTGAATGCTGAAGCTCATTTCTTTTGCCATCGCTGACAACGATGCTCTGCTGCTGGTTTGTTTAATGTGATTTTTTCTTGAATTTCTTTGAGCGCTATACAACCATAATAAAATGTCATTAGTGTCAAGAAATGATGAAAAATTGTGTGCAAAATATACTTACAAGTGCTGCCACGTAATTTAAAAAGTCACGTAAAAATATGCTGCAATAAAAAAAAAAACAACAGAAAAAAAGTAGTGAAAGGTATGAGAAGAAATGGATGTGAAGGGCAGGGTAAGCGCTTGGCTTGAAGGAATGAGTTGGATAAAGCAGCATTCACGTGGCAAAGTGATTAATAATCAAAATGAAGAACAATACGGTTAATGTACAATGAGTGCGAGTGTGCGTGAGAGCGCGAGTTGACCGCCGAAGTTTACGCAACCCTGTAGGGAAAATCTCTAGTTCCGAATTGCTGCGCTTCTAGTACATTTAGAGCCCGTACTGGTGGGCGATAAATCTCTTTAGCATGCAAACAACTGGCGAATTTAACATGGCGGTGTCTTAGGAAGTGTCAATTGCCGCCCGCTGCATCCCTTTTTTGATAGTTCCGAACTAGTCTTAAATTCTATAGTGCCGTGTGTGCGATTTTAAATAATTTGCAAAGAAATTTGTTTTAAATTTAAAATTAAATTTGTTTGAATGATTGTATGAAATGTACACTGCCGGCAAAAACTATTGATACAGCAAATTTTTCACATTATATGCAATAATTTTTATTCTAATATTTTTCCGCCAAATTTTTATTAAAATATGGTCCATTCTACAACAAAAAATAATTAAATACAATTCCTAAACTTTGTGCAAAACTCACGAAAATTCAGCAAATTTTGACTTAAATTTTTCAACATTTTAACAGATTTTTTAGAATTTCTTTTAGTATGCAGATTTGTATCACAATCAATTTTATTACAATAAAGTACAAGTTTTAAGTAGCTAGGAATTACGGTTGATGGCATTTTTTTCATGCAGTCCCTTCCATATTTTTTTTACAAAAATACTTTATATGGAAAAAAAACGCAAAACACCTTCAACAAAAAAAGTCTCAAAAATCTACACGAATTTTGACTAACTCCAAACATGCATTTTTTACTACAATTTAACGGGCTGCAAGACTCCATACAAAATATTCTAAAAAATCTGGGTAAAAAGTTGAAAATTTGTTGAAAATTTGCTGAATTTTCGCGAGTTTTGCACAAAGTTTAGGAATTATATTTTTATGTTTTTTTTTGTTTAAGAATGAACAATTTTGTATTAAAAAAATTGATGGAAAAATATTAGAAAAAAATTGTGGCATATATTGTGAAAACTTTGCTGTACCAATACTTCTTGCCGGCAGTGTACGTTTACATACCTTTGGCTGTAGCTGAATTTGCAGAAGTGCTTGCTGTTATTGGTTAGATTCCAGAAGAGCTCAAGATGTTGAAATGTTAACATAAGTTTTTGTTTTGTATTACCAAGCTATGAAAAAGTATTTGCGAAGTGCAGAATGGAAGTGTATTTGAACGAAAAATGTGAAGTAAAAAAGCCCTTCGCTGCATTTCTTGTTCTATAGTTCCAAACCAGTTCGTCATCTTAGATATAGATTTTTAACGGAAAAAGTGAAATAAAATAGTTTTTTAAAAGTACACCATTTCGCTGATTTTGACTGATAGGAATCTAATTACCTTTCGGACTAGTTCGTTTTGGCGATAAAGATCAAGTTCGAAATTTGATTTACTAGTCCGCGGTTTCCCTACAGGAAACGTAGCCTAACCCAAAATTCTCATTACTCGTAGCCAAACATAATTAATAATTGTAAGGAGTTTTTTTGTGTTTTTGCAGTCGAATCAGTTTATTACAACTACAAGGAAGCTAAATAAAAAAGTGCTTAATATAAATTATTGAAAAATAAAATCAAAGTAAATTCGAAAAATTCCATTAAAAATTAAATTATGGTGAGTGCTTAAAAAGGGATAAAAGTGCAGAAAAAAAGAAGAAAAAAGTGTGTACCTAAATATACAAAAATTACTGAAATCCAATATAAAAAAAGCGCATAAATATATAGTGGATTTAAAGTTAGACCACCAAACAAAAAAAAACGACCTCGGCAACCTAGAAAGCAAAAAGTTTAATTTCCCGGCAGCGCTCCAACTTCGAATTCAACTCTTCTGCTTCATCGTCACTCGTCGTCGGTCTTGCGCTCATACTCGATAATTTCAGCAACTTATTGAGCGCCGCTTGCCACCACTGACTTCGGCGTCAACGTCGACTTCATCGTCGACTTTAACTCTGACTCTGACTGTGACTCCAAAATGGTCAAAATGGAATTTCTTAAAAGGAAACATTTTTCATTGTGGATTATAACGACATTTGTACTCGTGGCTGGCATTTTGGATGGTTGCGTCGGACTGCAAGGCGTACCAACATGGATGTAAGTTGCACATTTTTTCTTCAATTTATATACACTTATTTTAACAAACATAAGTATGCATTTATTGAAGTACATTTATATGTACATATTAACATTTGTGCATTTATATGTGTACATACTTGTAATAAGTCTCGTTGCTTTTTACCCATTACCCTCGCTACTTATTTCCCTCTTCACTACATTTTACGTACGTTGCTGAACATTGGCGTGTAGTTGTTGTATTCTTTTTATTCACTTTTTATTAAGCGTTCTGCATTTACAGCGAAGTGTAAAATTGTTGGAAAAACGAAAGCCAATTTGTAACTGTTGGCAAAAAATCTGAATAATTGCCTTGACTAATATCTGCTTAATTACGATTAGTGTGGGATTTTACCAAAAGAGATGAACTGTTCGAGCATTCATTTCTACGAAATAACGCAAAAAGAAAAAAAAACTAAATTGACGGCAAATGCAATTATTTTCTAAAGATAGAAAAATACGAGTCGACCGAAAAAGTGCAAAAAATATATCTTAATTATTGCGATTTTTAACTATTAACTTTTTGATAAATTAATGCCGTCGAAGAAACTGATTTTCGGAACAAGTTACTGATCTTTTTTGTTGTGCATTAAAAAAGATCAGACTTAAATACGGTTTTTAGTGATATCTCGACTCCAACGACGGACTTACAGGTCTATTCTGCGCTGGTAATTTTTAATTTCTGGCAACAGTTTTTGGTATTAAAATTCTTCGGTTACAAAATCTTCGGTAGATAACGTGTTAGAGAAAATTTTTAAGAAAAATTATTTGTATTTACGTGAATTTGAATCAAGGCCACCTCTCAGGCCAATAAATAATTAAGAAAATCCCTAAAACTCGAAAATGGCTCGAAAACCTCGAAAGCTAGAAACCTTTCCAGTCCCTAACAACAAAAAAATTTCAAAAATAGTATGAATGGAGCTTTTCACGTACCTCAAAAAGTTTCTAGGCAAACTAGTCGCGAGAACGCTCTCGAAAAGTAATTCGTAAATTTCATGAGCATGAGCGCTGATTGAGCTCTTTAGTCGCTGAAGCAAAGGAATTTCTTTGAGTGATGATTTCCTTCTAAATTATCCCAAATGGATACCGGTGCAGCATATTTCCCACTTGTTGGGGTCGTTCTTGATATCGTTTTTGTTGAAGCCAAGAAATGGGCTGGACCCAATAAAAGGTGTCTCTGTCCCTTTTTAGCTTGGAAGTCCGTTTTTTCATTGCCATCATAGCCCTCATGCCGAGCAACCCAGATTAAGGGTACCCTATTTTTGGCGTCTAGATCATTGAGTGTTGCTCTATGACACTCTGACTATAAAGGTTTTCGATGATAACCTTAGAATTACTGCTCCAATCTTCGCGAGTGGAAAATATGATCTTATAGTTCTTCATACTATTTGATCGGAGAACAGGGTCAAGGGGAAATCACCGGATTCGGCCCTACAGTATCTGATTAGTAGGATCGAAATTGCCTTCGAGGCCAAGGAGATCACTATGTATTCCAAGTGATAATCCCCGATCGCGAAGATTAGGCAAATGGGCTCCTTGCACTTGATCTCAGATACGAACAATGGTACATAGATGGGTCAAGGTTGGCGGACAGAGCAGGTGCAGGTATCTTTGGACCTAGCACCACACTTACAATTCCTAGGCTAGGCTCTTCGACTACCCCTTCAATAGAAACGACATTGTCTTAATAAATATAAATGACATCAGGCTACTTTCTGGATACCTGACCACAGTCACAACCAATTTCGATTCCACTTGCACCGAATAGGTGCGATCACAGAGTCGGAATGCCGGCTCTGCCTTGAGGATGATGAAACTTCGGGGCATAATCTCTGTTACTGTCCGGCTTTGGCCAGACAAAGACTGATTTATTTTAAATCGTCAAGGGTCGAATAAGGAATTCGTCTACCAAGGACCTTTTAGGATTCATTAGGGAGGCCGAAGGTATCTTGGCCATAATGGGTTAGGGACTCGTTTTAAGGGCTACAAAAGATCTTTTAGGTCGCGGTGTCTCTTGTTCTAGTACACCCAAAAAATTAACTAACTACTTAACTAACTAGCGGTTTGGCCATGATTGTCTCCTTACCCCTCAAGATTTTAAGGTGTTCGACCAGGTCGCCCTGTTTGCTTGCATTGGTGCTTCCTTAGTGAAATTATAAATTATCTGCTAATGTATAAATGGTGAAAAATGCATTTTATTAATAACTTTACGATTTTAAGCTTTTAAATACGTATGTATAACATTTTAAATATACATGCATACAAATTATCAGAATTCTTCTAAAACGTTTTACTAAATACTCATAACTATGTGCATACATATTTCACATGGCCTTTGAATGAAATGGCTTGCACAAAAGCCAAGCAGCAGCAATGTTTTAGAAATATGTATGTATGTACATTGGGGCGGGTCAATTTCTATGGAAGGTTTTTTGACTATGCGCGTACAGCACAGAATTATTCTACGTGTAATTCTAAGTAAATTTGCCGCAGAACCCATGGGTCTAAAACCAATTTAGAGTTTGCCAAATTGCGAAAATAAGTATCTTAGCATTTTGCTATAGTGTCGTAAAGGGGCTTGTTGGTATAAGGGATCAATTTCTGCACTTTTATTTTTCTTAAAAATTCCACCGGGAAATTTGCATAGGGACATCGACCCGCCCTAATGTACATACATACATACATCCATACATTTCCACTTTCTTTCCTGCTTTAAGCGGTTGGCTCCCCTCAGCTGACGCAAGGCATACATGACACACAAACTCTTAACATTCACCAGCAAAGTATTATAGCAGAGCAGTGCAATCACGCACCACATTAATTTTCAAATTTTATGATTTTTAGCAGCAGCTCCCTCCCCGCTTTCGGAGCTTGACTTCTGGGCGAGTTGGCAATCTAGTATGTGCGCACACGCATACCCCCATACATAAATGTACAATTATACACGCATAGGAAGTGCAACTGGGAGTTACCACTTCGTGACTTGTACGACTTAGAAGCTCCTTTAGTCCATTGCAGTGGTGATGCGCCAACAGTGGCGTTTTGCTGTTTGTTCTTTTGCCAATGCAGATAAGTTAAGCGTAGAATGTGCGACTATAGTAGCGCATGACTATGCAACTGTAGCTGTTATTGTTTTTGTTGTAGCAATTGCATTGTTAAGTGGCATAGTTGTGCGGATCACGGACACTTTACTGGTGCTTTTCGTTTGTCCTTTCCCAGCAATTCACTTTTTCGTTTTTGTTATTTTTCCAACAACCACAATAAATGCATTGCTTCGCGTTGGGTAGATATTCTTCGATCGGCTACTAACTATTGTCGCTATCACCAGATTTGTGGCCATAATAAACTTGTGTGGTTTATGTGGGCACACATACATACACTAAAGCGTTTAAATAAAGGAGTGGAATGCATGTACATATTGTATATACATATGTGTGTGTAAGAACACATGGACTTGCATACAAACCTACATACATATGAGGGTATCTACGTACATATGTTTGTAAATATGTCACCGCTTTTATATGCAACATGCTGCTGCAACAAGTGACTGCTTGCTCCGTATGTTTGATATTGCCACAGGGCAGTCACATTGAGTGCTTGTTCCTGTTCTCATTACTATCACCACTAGCACGCCTTCTGGCAAATGCTAATTGCTCTGATAATTTGCTTGTTTTGCTGCGATTTTATGCGATGTTAAATGATCAATAAATTTTAAGTTTATTATTTTGCTTCTTGCTTTTGAAATGAGTTGGAAATTTCTGTCATTGCCAGTAAAAAAAATACGACTACCTAAGAAATGAATGTGGAATAGAAAGAAAATTAGTAAGCGACATAGAAAAAAATCTGTAATCGCTTTAAGCGAAAATGTGTTCTTGTATTCTTTAACCCATTAAGGGGAATGCAAAGTCGTATGCAAGCCTTTACCACCAATGCGTTCAACTAATTTGAAACGAAATTCAAAATGATATTGATTGCAAATTATGTTTTTTTTTATTTTTAATAATTTTCATTTAAAATATAATAACAATAATAAAAGTTTCAAAGCTTGCAAAAATTGCAAAAAAAAATTGTCATCAAAATTTTCAAATTTTTAATAAAAATATTTAGAAAATTTTCGGGTATGCAGTTCTGTAGCCCATTCAATTGTAGTCTAAGAAAGTGCAAGTCTCAAGTCGTTAAAAATTAGCGTTGATTTTTTAGATTTTTTTTTGTGGAGGGTGTTGCGCATTTTCTTCCATATAACACATCATACAAAATTTTTTTTATATGAAAAAAGAAAATCCACAACACCCTGTTCTCTGAGTCTGATTTCAACACGTTATCACAAGAAGCCATTCCACATTTTTTGCTGGGTTGCTTATTGACTTTCAATACATGTAAAAAGAAAACATAAATTTGTTTGAAAATAATTTTCATTAGTTCGTTTGCTAACTCTTTAATGGATTTTGGAATAAGCAAATAACAAATTTCAATAAAAATATTATTTCTTATTGCTTATCTCGTTCGTTTTAATAGAATTTCCATTACATGGTAGGGAAAATCTTAAGTTATGAGATGACACAGAAAAAACGTCAAAACACATACACTTAAAATGGGTGCTAGATTATGAATTATGGAATAAGGTTTCATTCATTATGCAAATAATTTCAGATAAAGAATACATTTTTATTCTTCATTCAGTTAAATACAAATGCGAATAATTTTTGATTTATTATTCAGACCAGTAGACGATCGAAGCATACAAAATTAGGAAATATATCAAAACCTACATACGTACATGTGTATATAAGCATGTGCATAAGATAAAGAAGGAATGACGGAATAAGAAGTAAAAAATATTCGATATTCGGCATCATGAATTAAAATTTATTCTTCATTTTAAATTACATGAATGTAGGATAAAAATGTATTCGTTATTTGAACTTATTTGAATAAAGTGTAAAAATTTTTTATATATTCGAAATTACTTGAATGATGAA